AAAAAAAAAAAAAAAAGAATCCAGTAAATAAAACTAACACCTCAGTCCCCAAACTCTCTCTAGAACACTACACTGTCACTCCTGGAAGAGATCTCCCTATTCCCTTCTAAGTTTCCTGGCACAACTAGAAGGGATCATTGTTTCTGCCTATGTCTCCTGAGCCAGTGGATCAGGAAAAACAGAATAATAGCAAGGGGAAAAGAAAGGTAATGGGGGAATGGAAGGGGAATGGGACATGAGCAGGGAAGACTCATCTTTTACCATTAAGGTTTTGAGCAAACAGAACCCAAAAAGGAGGAGAGGGCTGAAGCCTGAATGAGGGTTGTGACTCCCAGAGGCAGTGGCAGTTTGAGGGCTAAGAGGGAAACAGCACAGGCTGAGAAAGTGATAATTCCTTGTAGGTGGAGGAGTCCACGGACCACCCCAGAAACCACCCCAATTACTGGATTTGCAAGAGAAGGGCCCTGCCCACACACCCTCAAGAGCTGTTCAGGACTTACAGGGCTCGTGGATTCCAGGGTGGTCGCTGAACTCCAGCACGTAGAGGTGTCTCCCCTCCACGCTGCGCCCAATGCTGTAGACCCGCGTGACGCTGGGGCATTCGTTTTGCACCTTGTACAGTGTCCGAACAAGATCATCATAGCGGTGGTGGCGGAACGTCACCGGGGCAACCAGCTTACATAGAAGGAGGAGGTGGAGAAAGACTGAGAGCAGGTCTGACATCTTGCTGGGCTTTTTCAGAGAGCCACTGAGACGCGCCCCACCTCCTGCAACAACTTGGCCTCTTCACCCGCCAAAATCCAAGGTCTGCGGAGCTTCCCGCCTCGCCTGTAAACGCCAGCCCCTGGAAGTCGTTCCCAACTGTCCGTCCAAGGCTGGAAATTCTTTACGTCGCTCTCGAGTAGCCTCTCATCTCTTCTCCCTCACTCCCTTCCCTTCCGACATCCAGAAAAGCCTTTTGAAAGGTTTTTTGCACTTGCCTAGATGGGTAGTTTCACTGATTCTGGTTTACTGGTTAACTGGACTGTAAACAGGCTTCAATAAATAGCTGCTTATAACCCTTTGATTCCCGGATAATTTTTTAAAACTTGGCCTCTTCCTGTTTCCTTTATTACAACTTTCAAAAAGAGTTCTCTGTTGCTTTTGATCCATCCCACCTACCACTGCCTGACTACCTTTCAGAAGCATGGCTGTATTTCATCCTTTCTTTCCTCAAACATTTTTCAACAGATTCCATTAAGAAAAGGAAAAGATTAGCCTTGGACTGGGAGAAAACAACTGTAAATCATGTATCTCATAACATCCCCCAATACGTAAAGAATCCTTACAGTACAATAAGAAGACAAATGACCCAATTAAAACATGGGCAAAACGTTTGACCAAAACAGATATACAAATGGCTAATAAGCACATTTAAATATGTTCAATGTCATTAGTTGTTAAGGAAATGCAAATTAAAACCACATGAGATGCCAGGCATGGTGGCTCATGCCTGTAATCTCAGCACTTTGGGAGGCCAAGGTGGGAGGATCACTTGAGCCCGAGAGTTTGAGAGCAGCCTGGGCAACACAGCAAGACCCCATCTCTACAAATAATTTAAAACTTAGCTGAGTGTGATGGCATACCTGTAGTTCCAGCTACTTGGGAGGCTGAGGCAGAGAATCACTTGAGCCTGGGTGGTGGGGGCTGCAGTGAGCCATGATCATGCCACACTACACTCCAGCCTGGATAACAGAGTAAGACCTCATCTCAAGAAAACAAACAGAAACCACACATCAGATATTACTTTACCTCCACTAGAAAAGCTATAATAAAAAAAGACAGACAATAACAAATGTTGGTGAGAATAGGGAGAAACTGGAATCCTCATAAATAGTGCAGCCAGTTTGGAAAACAGTTTAGCAGTTCCTTACAAGGTTAAATATTTACTTATTATATAATACAGCAATTTCACTCCTGGGTACCTATGCAAGAGAAGTGAAAACGTGCATCCACACAAACACTTGTACATGAATGTCCATAGCAGTATTGTTCACAAGAGACAAAAAGCAGAAACAACCCAAATATCCATTAACCACTGAGCGGATAAACAAAATATGGCCTATCCATACAATGAAATATCATTTGACAATAAAAAGGAGTGAAGTACTAATACATTGTACAATGTTAATTAATTTTAAACATATGCCCAGTGAAAGAAACCAGACCCAAAACACCACATATTGTATGTTTCAGTTCATATTAATGTTTAGAAAAAGCAAATATATAAAGACAGAAAGATTAGAGGTTGCGAGGTCTGGGATTAGATATGTGAACACAAAATTTCTTTTTAGAGTGATAGAAATGTTCTAAAATTAGATTGTGCTCATGGTGATGACTGTACAACTCTATAAATATACTAAAATTCGTTGAATTGCACACTTAAAACAGGTGAATTCTATGATATGCAAATTGTAGCTCAATAAAGCTGTTTTTAAAAAGGAAATTAAAAAACAAGTACAGCCCTCTGAAAGAATTAAATATAAATTTACCATGCAACTCAACAATTCCATTCCTGGATACCTACCCAAGAGAACAAGCTCACCCACAGAATGTTTATAGCCGCATTATTCATAATAGGCAAAAAGTAGAAACTACCTTAGTGTCTATCATCTGATGAATAAATAAAATGTTATATAGCCACACAATTGAACACTATTCAGCAATAAAAAGGAATAAAATACAACTTCATGCTACAACGTGGATGAACCTCAAAAACACCATGCTAAGTGAAAAAAGCCAGAAATGAAAAAAACACATATTGTGTAATTCCATTTATATGAAATGTTGTACAAAGGTAAACCTATACAGACAGGAAGTAAAATAATGTTTGCCTGGGGTTGGGGATGGGAATGGGAATGGAAATTAACTGAATGGGCATGAGGGATTTATTTTCTAACTGATGAATCAGCACTCAAACTGGATCCAAGAGAGATCCTACTGGAGTGATGGAGATGTTCTAAAACTGGATGATGGTAATAGTTGGTCAGCTTGCTAACTTTACTAAACATCATTTAATCATAAACTTGCCGAGTGCAGTGGCTCACACCTGTAACCCCTACATGTTGGAAGGCTGAGGCAGGTGGCTCACTTGAGGTCAGAAGTTTGAGATCAGCCTAGCCAGCACGGTGAAACTCTGTCTCTACTAAAAATGCAAAAATTAGCCAGGTGTGGTGGCACATGCCTGTAATCCCAGGTACTTGGGAGGCTGAAGCAGCAGAATTGCTTGCACCCAAGAAGCAGAGGTCGCAGTGAGCTGAGACCATACCACTGCACCCCAGCCTGGGCAACAGAGAGAGATGCCACCTCAAAAAAAAAAAATCATTCAATTATAAACTTAAAAAGGGTGAATGTTGTGGTATCTAAATTAGACCTCAATAAAATTGTTGTTTTTTATTATTTATTTATTTATTTATTGAGACAGAGTCCCACTCTTTTTGCACAGGCTGGTGTGCAATGGTGCAATCTTGGCTCACTATAACCTCTGCCCCCTGGGTTCAAGCAATTCTCCTGCCTCAGCCTCTCAAGTCGCTGGGATTACAGGTGCCCACCACCACACCAGGCTAATTTTTGTATTTTTAGTAGAGACGGGGTCTCAGTATGTTGGCCAGGCTGGTCTCAAACTCCTGACCTCAGATCATCAGCCCGCCTCGGCCTTCCAAAGTGCTGGGATTACAGGCGTGAGCCACCGTACCCGGCCTAAAATTTTTGCTTTTAAAAACCAAAGTTTCAATGGATCTTCATGTACTATTACGTAAAATTCAAATGCCTCAGGTGGCCTTTCCGTCCTTCCTACCAAGTCCAGTTGTGACTTGTCCTCCTGTCCCTCACTCTAGTGCAGAACTGTTGCTCCACCTACTGTTTTTGAATCATGCCCTCATCACCTGCCTTCCTGCTTTCACTTATGCTATTTCCCTAGGCAACTCAACTCAGCTCAAATCCTGGGTCTTCCTTACCTCCCTTTCTAGTTGCTGCTACAATCAGTCTTTGTATCTTTAATTCTTATCACTTTTTCTGTTATGCACTTCCCATGCTAGGTGTTGGGTGTCAGGGTGGAGTGCAGCCCTGCTGGCAGACTGCTGTTGCTCTCCAGGGTGATCTGCAGCCCCCTAGCATAGAGCTGGGCACAGGTGCTCAACATTTGTTGAACGAATGAGTGAGTGAATGAATGAACAAACCCATTATTGACTTTCCCCCGTGCATCTGGCTGCTCCATCTTTAGTAAACCTTCCAAAGGAAATTCTATGTTTTTATAACCAGTCAGTGAAGATGGTGATTCCCTCTTTGATATATTGGGTGAACACTCTGTGGCCAGGTTAATCTGGCTCACAGAGAGGTGGCCCAGATAGTCTCAGCGGGTTGGCTCTGATAAGTACTAAGCTGGCAATACCAAACAGCTGCTGCCTATACCCACAGCTCAAATCCCATAATTTTCTGAGGAGATCATGTCACCCCAGGTGGGAAAGGTAGGAATCAAGGCATCACTAAGGCCTCACTCATAAAGCTCCTGATCTAGAACAGTATCTATTGTCACTACTGAGGGCTTGGCTTAGCGACTCCCAGATGAACCTGTGGTTCTTTATGGGGCCTCACTCATGCCAGACAGATGAATCCCATTCTCTAGGAGAGGGGTGCACCCTCCCTACCTATTTGCACAGTGGATTCTTATAAACAGGGAATATCCTCTGACAATGAGAAGTACCAGAGATGAGGTAGGGATGCCTTCCCTGGAATTCCACAGAGTATCAGAGTGATGCCCGAAAGCCAGAGGGCATATGCCATCTCTCAAAGCAACTAGAAGTAAAAGGTGCATGGCCTTGAATGTCGAAGGGATATGATTTCAAATCTAACTGCAACCCTCTCTTAGGCCATTTGATCTTGGGCAAATGACTTACTTCCCTAAACCTCAGCTTCCTTCTATATGGAATAGGGAAATCTAGTGCCTCCCTCATGTGTTGTTGTGTGGATTAAATAAGCTGTTGTATGTAAGGATTTTTCACAGTGCCCAGCAAGGGCTCAATAAATATTAGTGGTAGTAGCAATAGCAGCAACAGCATTGCTAAGCATCTACTTTGTGCTACAGACCATGCTATGATGGGGATAAAAGTCATTCATTCAACAAATCCAGGAAAGCCTTTACCACTAAAAGCCAAAGACTTTACATATAATGTCCTTTTCAATCTACAATAAAACCAACAAAGATCCTGCCCATGTGGTTCTTATATTCCAGTGAAGACACAGACACAATTAAGAGTGAAAAAGATAGAGACAAGTAAACAAGCACAGCACAGAGGGATGAGTGATGAATGTAACCACATAGGACCACCAAGCAGGTTCGCCTCATCTAGTTTTGGGAGGTCAGGGAGAGCTGGCTGAGGATCTGTGAGAGTGGAACTCACTAGATTATTTCTAGAGTCCTGTCTCCCACTGTGGTATGCACAATAGCGACCCTCCCAAAGGTGTCCACACCCTAATCCTTGGAAACTGAAATGTTATGTTACATGGCAAAGCGGAATGAAGTTTGCAGATCAAACGAAGGTTGCAGCCCAGCATGGTGGCTCATACCTGTAATCCCAGCCCTTTGGAAGGCCAAGGCATGAGGACTGTTTGATACCAGCAGTTTGAGACCAGCCTGGGCAACATGGCAAGACCCCATCTCTACAAAAAAATCAAGTTAGCCAGGCATGGTGGTGCAAGCCTGTGGTCTCAGCTACTCAGGAGGCTGAGGTGGGAGGATTGCTTGAGCCTTGGAGGTCAAGGCTGCAGTGAGCCATGGTCATGCCACTGCACTCCAGCCTAGGTGACAGAGCAAGACCTGTCTCAAAAAAAAGAAAAAATTAAAGTTACGAATCAGCTGATCTTGATAGGAAGTGATTATCTGGATTATCCAGGTGTGCCCATGCAATCACAAATGTGCTTTTTTTTTTTTTTTTTTTTTTTTTTTTTAAAATTTTTTTTTTT